TATAGTCTTTGGCTTGAATCTTAAACCATGATTTGAAAAACCTATGATTATAACATTTTGCCTCATGGTAAGAAGGTGGCAATACATTGTCCTGACTGGCTTCTTTAAGATATCAGGAGAACAATAAAATCTAACACTTATATAATACTGATCATCTGCCAGTCACAGTGCTAAGTGTGGTACACTTATTAACTCACTTAACCCTCAAATTAACACTATGTAGTATGTACTGCTATTATCTACTTTGGATCACCTTACTCTGATATCTTCTGACGTTCCATCTCTATCCGATGCTACAAAACTGACTCAAACATGTGAGGCACTTGCATTTCCTGTGTGCATGCTCTTGGAAGGAAGAGGTATTTTTGTCTTTGGTCCTTTTATTCTCTGCTAGCACACATCTCAGATGTTCATTCAGCACACATTGAGCCACAGTTACGTTGAACATCAGCTGTCATGTGAATGGGATTGCCAGAAAGAAATCAATTGTGGGGACTCATAGAAATAGGATTATTTTTTCATCAGATCATAGTGTTGACTTTTTGATCTGGAAGAGTCTTTCTCCCCTGACGAAGGTTTAATCATCCAAGGTGCTTTCTTTCAATTAATGATAACAGTAGGGTTTCCAACAAATAGAGTAAATAAGAAGGATAAGAGACAAAGACAACTTCCAAAGCTACTTTTATTAGAAAGTAATCTGCAGCTTATCTTAGCTCTTCTAGTATCCAGTGATGCCATTTGAATACTTTGTCCACTAGCAACCCAAAGCTTCTGAAGCCAGGACATCACTGAGCTTCATGCTCATATCTGGCCCCACGAAATGCATGGCGCACTCAGCAACCCACTTTTTTTCCCTCGTCCTCCATTCCTTCTGTTGCTCTTTGTCACTTCTCCTTATTTATGAGAAGGGAAGGGCGAGGGTGACTGTTAAGGCCTTATTATCTATTTCCACCAACGAAAACTCTTTCTGCCTTTTACAGTTTCCTTCCTTCTTCTTCTGCTAGCCTAAATCCTATTTTGTGTATTCCAAGCCAAATCTGCCATGGGGTTGGAAAATGGAAAAAGAGAAGTAAAGCACATGTCAATAGCATATGCATAATCATGAATATCTATATTTCTGCACCTGAGACCAAAATCTAAACTTATATTTACCCAATATGGCAGCTTCTTATCAGCTTTGTCAACTTAGCTTGCTTTACCTCCCTCAGCATCAGAATTCTGGTCTATAAAGAGGGGATGACAGTACCTACCATACAGGTATAGTAGGAGAAATAAAATCAGATAAACCTGTTGTTTCAGTCTCTGACACACTGTAAGTGCTTTAAAATTTAGTTATTATTGTTGTTATTAATAATTATATTTTTTTAACTTATCTCTTAGCCATAATATCATTCAGTGAACATTCACTGAGTTTAATCTAAATTTAACATCCTGCGTTAAACCCTGTAGGAGGTTTTAAGATGAATAGCTATTGTTCCAAATTGAAAGGAGATTAGAATCTGACAGGGTTGAAATACATGTAAACCAATCATGTTATTAAGCATAGGATGGGAAATGCTAGAAATGAGGTACAAGTCAAAATTAATGGGAGTGGACAATTAATCAAAATTGGTTATATCTGGTACAGCTTTATTGAGGAGGGACCATTTTAACTAAACTATAAGTTCAGAGTCGGGTGAAGGGGACTAGGGGAGAGGGAAGGCACTGAAGTGTGAGCAGTAGCAGGAGGCAGACAACTAACGGAACAGTGTACGAAGGAAATCATGGGTAACCATTTCCCATCTGTATGATCTTTTATGACAATTTTTACTTATTTATATCTTTCGGTAACAATTCACATGTAAAGAAAAAATAAAGTGCCACAGAGAACATTCTGGATTAGCATTTTCCAAAGAATGTTGGTTAATAAATAAGGTTTACAGGAAAAATGATTTAATGGTCATGTAAATTTTTATATTGCAAAACACTATGTTATCCTTTCATGCTCTATTAGCAATTTCCTCAAAATGAATTTTAATTACTGACCACATGAGATATATATATATATATATATATATATATACACATATATGTATACACACACACACACACACATATGATTTTCTTACAACAGGGTCTTACATATGATGCAAAATAGGCTAAGTTTTGCTATAGTAACAAAGAGGCTCAAAATCTGGCTTAGAACAACCACCAACTGGTTTCTCAATCATGTGTACCATGCCCCATGCAGGTCAGCATGGGACATTCTGCTCATTGTTGTCATTCAGAAACCCAGACTGATAAAAACTTCATCTAAACCCAAGCTTCTGCAATGTCCACAGGAGGAAAAGGGAAACCGCACTTAATGACCCCACCCAGAAACATCATACCACTCTATTCACGATTTTTTTTCTTTTGTCCAAAAAAGTCATATGTCCACATATAACTTGAAACGCTGAGAAAGTAAAATTTAAAATATGCCTGGAAAAGGAGAGGAAAACTTGAGTATTTTTAAGTAGACCAAATGACTACCATAACTAGATTACTCAAAGGTAACCAGACTGAAGAACTTCTCTATCTTCTAGTATACGAATGGAGAATGAAAATCTCCTAAGTGATATTCTCGAAGGCAGACTGTCATCCTTATTCCAAACTAGGGCTCTTTATTTCTTCAATAATTTCATGGCACTAATGCTTCATGAATTAATATTAGGAAATTTTTATACTCACAGAGGATATTTTTAATTATCTATATGTAGAAATAGTATGTGAGATAAGGTTGTCATTTATAGACCTGAAATGCTGGTAAAACATTCTGAATGTTCTTTAGCACAAAAGATAAAATAATCAACACCCTTTTTTATTTGTCAATTACCTAGTATGTGCCACTTCTTATACTCTATACTTTTGTGCATACTTTCCCACCTAATTCTCATACAGACCAATTCCAGAAAGTATCTAACATTACTCCCCTTTCATAGTTGAGGAAATTAAGGCTCAGGGAGATTGAATGATTTACACAGAGGTTCATTAGTAATCAGAGCAAGAGTCCTGGGTTCAAAGGCCAGGTGGTCCCTGAAGCCATGTCCTTTCTTTTAGTACAATGTGTGGATATGATTAGGATCTGTCTGCGGTGACCAATGTGTCAGCCAGGGATCTCCAGAGAAACAGAACTAATAGGAAGGGTGAATGGATGAATTGATTGATCTATCTATCTATCTGTTGAGAGATTTAGTCTAAGGAATTGGAACACCAAATATAGGGGATGAGAAGTGTAATATTTGTACATAAAGGTGGAACTTAAGGCTGCAAATTCAGACAAACAGTTGATTTTGCTCTCTTAAGTCTGAACTGAGTAGAACAGATCATCAGAATGGAAGCTCAGGCAAAGTTTCTACATTATACTAGGAGGAAAAATTTCTTCTTCTGGAAATATTAGTCTTCAACTACTTGGATGAAAAGTCACCTACATCATGGGAGGAGGTGATTTATTTTACTTATCATCAACCCAAACAGATTTGATCCCGTCTACAGAAATACCTTCAGAGTAACATTGAGATAAGTGTGTGATCAAACACTGGGTGTCATCATCTAGCAAATTTGGCTCACAGGATTAACCATGGAAACTGGAATAAATGAAATGTTTTTGTGAAGAAAAAAAATAAATAATCCACGTTTATAGTTTGGTATGTCTAGAATTAATTGTTCCGTGTAGGAAAGAGTTTCACACATTCTGTTTTTGTTTTTCCCATTCTGACCCCTCATCATCCAAATTAATCCCATCTTAAGTCACAGCAAAGCCGTCAGCGTGCTCTGACTTGGTTACTCCACCTCTATCTCCTGCCATCCTCAGGCATGATGCCCCAAGTGTGTGGCATTAATCAGCTCTCTTGCTTTGACTCTCTTCATTCATTCTCTCTTCGTCTTCCTTTCTCTATCGTAGCACTTCTTTTAAAGTATTGTTTTGAAGGTAGTGGGGCCCATTCTTAAACACAGATGGTCTTGCTTAGAAGCCCAATGTGTAAAACAGATGATCACATGTGCTCTGCTGTTGAGGTACACATCCTGGGACTTCCCACCCCAATTTAAAACCTTGTCATCTCCCGTAAAGTCACTGATGCCCAGCTGTTCCCAGGCTGACACACCGATGCCAGAGTGCCTGTGGCTGGCTGCATCCTGTCAATCTCAACCGGTCCCTGTGAATGGGCCTCTGCCTTCTGCTGGAGCTCATGTGATTGTTCCTCCTCTGTCTCTGTGAACCTTTCCAGGTTATTTGCTAGCGACTGCTTCAGAGCTTGTCATAAACTACCCAGTATGACTCTGTTATGGAAGAATTTACAAGAGCTGCCCTGAAAATGCTGTGCTTTGGATCAATGACTTTTCAAGTGGCTTAATAGTACGATAGCTCCATCACCATGTGTCAAACAAACACGGAAAAATCTAGTAGTTATTGTTTGCTTACAATAGTCGTGGTTTTCTTGGACTAATAACACATTTACTTCAAAAGTGTCTCACCAAAAGTTGATGTCAAAAGAGCTCGTGGCCTAGAGTGTAAAACCTGATGGTTTGAAAATTTTTACTTTAGGAAACAAAGTCTCCCATCTCCTTTGAGTGAGTAGAAAACCTGCTGTTCTAAAACAATAAAAGTGACTTAATTGCTTTTTCATTAAAACAGGATATTCATGCCTCCTCCCCCATTCAAAGTTCTACTCATAGTTTGGAAATATTCTTTTTCCAAGGTAAACATGCCTGTCACCCACTGTATTCTGAAAATTCTGGCCCATGCTACAGCATGAATGTTCCTCTTCTGGACAGTGATTTGAGGACTTCTGAACAAGATGTAAACTACAGGAGCCAGTTTGTTTTCTTCTTCAACTTGACTATGTTAATCTTGGTTTTATTTAGACTGAAAGATCCCTGGACAGCCATCTAGTCTATATTATGTACTTTGCTCTAACACAAATCATGGCTGCTGCTCCTAATGCTGTGGTCTAAAAAAAAAAAAAAAAAAAAAAAGGTACCTTGAAACCCTGTGGCTGGTCACAGCTCAGTGCTGCTAACTGGTTTCTTGGTCGGATTTCTTTATGTCCTCACTAATGACAGGCAGGGAGGCCATGATATCCACCGGTAAGTGCCAGAGACATTCTTAATGAATGAATGGGAGAGTTGACACATGAAAACCCCGAAAAAAAAAGACCAGGTCTCAGAAGTCATATGGTGGTGTTGAGTCTGGAGGCCTGGGGTCTGCAAAAATAAAAATAAATAAAACAAAGTCTTATTTTTAAAGTGTAGCCAAGTCTGCATACCATTTGAAATGAGGTTTGGGCTAAGCAAGGCTGGGCTGAAAGAAGGCTGCTCTGGGAATGGGTTGAGAAATTTAAATTTTAAAAGCTCCTACCCTGCACAACTTCTCTATCTCTGAATGGGTCTTTCTTCCATACTGCTCCCAATTTCTCCTCATAGTTTTTAACCCTTGTTTCAACCTATTTTTAAAGTTATTTAATAAGTATTGTTTCTCCACCCTCCCACATTTTATATGTGTATTTCTGACACATCTGTAGAATAAACTAGACATACTAAGGCTATAATGAGAATACTCCCAAAGAGATGGCGATGATGATGAGGAGGATGATAATGATGATGAGGATGATTTTGAGGGCTTACCTTACTTGTGCCATGTCTCATTTTTCATGCTTCACATGCAGAACCTAGGCATGGGTATTTTCTGCATAAGGATGGGAAGTAAGGGGTGAAGAGGTTGTACTTGCCATACTGTGCACCCTAAAGAAAAGACATGTGCACTGTGAGGGGCACGTTTATCTAATCTCTGCAATGTACTTGGGCTAGTAGTGGCTATATGTTATGTGAGTTCACTCATTCCATCCACCACACAGTGCTTTGACTATTGTTTTCAAATACTTTCACACAGGCTACAGATGCACAGTTTAGTGAAATCCCCAGAAACACAAGTAGATGTGTTTGGAAACACCAGTTGGAGCAGAGCCCATGCCCCCCATGAGCAGCAGCACCAGGAAACATGGGCACAAATGCACCCAGACTTTGCCTCTTTTCTCTAGTGATGCTACTTAAAACTCTTTCTGTATCATCTGCATCCTTGTTCATGCCTAAAGTAAACTGAACTTCATAAAATTTCCACAGCATGCTTTTTAAATATGTCCTAAATTCTTTCTTTCTTCATCTTTAAACGACATGTTAAGGGATGGTATGGCATATGCAGCCAATTGTGCCCCAAAATAAAGTGGATATCAAAAAATGGGGAGAGGACTGGTCCTCTCAGGTAGCTACAAGAAAATACATTGTACATTTTGCTTTTTATTCAGCGACCTCAACCTAACTTGTTTATGCACTATATTCAGCTATATGTATGCACTGAAATGGCTTGTAAATCGTGGTGATAAGTGGTTTTTATTTAAATGTAGAAATGATACCTTTGTCCTCAGCCAGTTGACATGAAAAGGTTTTGGTGGAGAAACAGAGCAATAGGACATCAATGTGATTTCGCCACCTTGTGGCAGCTGGTTGCTTTTCAGCCGCTTTGGATCTCTGTTGGTGAATTTCAAGGGCTTTCTTAATGTCGATTATATCTCTAGTTCATTCCTGAGGCCAGGATTCAGCCCTGAGAATCAGTCTCTTTTCATTTCTAGGGATGTTCTCCATTCACAAGTTTTGCATGGCACATTAAGCACACCATCCCTGACGACCAATACCAGCCCATTTCCATCAGCTCCACTCCTCCAAACTTGGTGGCCAAAAAGCACACTGTAATGTACTGAAGCAAGAAGGAATGCTGTGCAAACTTCATCTAAACGCAGACTAAAACCTGATTTAGGACACTTTGTAGTTGTCACACACTCCAGTGTTACTTGCTGGGAAAATGTGTTGCAACTAGAAAGTGGGTCTAGCTGAAATCACAATTAAGCCTTTCCATCAAGTCTTCCCATCTGCAACGGAGGCCACATGCTGGACTCAATGCCTTACATAGTCAAAGCATGATGACACCTCTCAAAAAGAATTAGAAAATTCAGTCCGGGAAATTCAGTACTAATTGAAATTCAGTACTAATCTTCTGCAATTAGAAATCCATAACAGCCTCAAAAAGAATGAATCTGGGGAAGGAAATGCTTGTAGAGAAAGGCAAACTTCTTCCACACAGGTCTTTGGCAAACACAATCATGTCAAGAAAAGAAAGGGATTTAGAGCTTAAAATATACAATGAAAAAGAACTGTGAAGTAATAAAACTTCAAAAGTTGCAATATACGGTGTTAACACGAGAAATGTTTCTAAGATGTTTCAAAGTAACTGGAATGAGTACTTTTAGTAATTTATTGGAATCAACCACACTCATTCTGAGCAAGAACAGGCTGTGGAAGGTGTTGATTTTTCTGATGAAGGGGAAGTATATTTAAATGAAGAGAGCACCTTTTTGAAGCCTCACAGACTTGCCACTGTGAAGCTTTTAATACAATGTGGGGATATACCTCCAAATTTACAGAAAGGGGATGAACTCCGAGAAAAGAAATATCAAGATCAGATGTCTGAAAAGGAAAGCAGGTTATCTGAGGTGACTGTTTCCTGTCATCAAGAAAGAAAAGAGAATAAATCATACCAACATCTGAAGACAAATTTAAACCACTTCTAAACACAAGGCAGAGGGGCAGGGACCTGAATGTTTGGCCATCCAAGTTAATCCCTCTTGATTGGGATGTCTGTAAATAACTTACTTGAGGAGAAAAGGATTACTATGTGCCGAAGTCTGGCTGGGCAAATAACCGGGAGATGACAAGCAACTTGAAGGTTGAAGTGGGAACTACTTTATTGGAATGAACTCAGCAGGAACTGAGGGAAAACTCAAAGTAGCGGGCACCCAAAGTAGCAGGAGCCAGAGAGAAGAGGTATATATACTTAACTAATTACACACAGCTTAACTTAATTAACATCATCTAGATACAGCAGTCAGCCAATAAGGAATTCTCATCATCTTAATGGATCGCTGGCGTTGCTTCACAAACCACTCCTCCTGGCAAAGTGCCAGGTGCCATCTTGACATGATTTGCATCCCCAACAACTATGATATTGGGGTTTGGATGCAAGGTATCCCCCCAAATCTCCTGTTAATGCAGCAATATTCAGAAGTGAAATGATTTGATTATGAGAGTTATAACCTGATCAATCCAAGTTTAAATGGACTAACTTGGGGGTGACTGTAGGCAGGTGGGGTCTGATTGGAGATGGTGGATCCCTGGGGGCATGCCCTGGAAGGGTGCATCTACAGTTAGGGCCCTTCCCCTTCTTCTCTCTGCTTCTTGACCCTGTCAGGAGCTGAGCAGTTTTCTTTGGCTGGACCTTTCCCCCATGGTGTGCGGCCTCATCTCAGGCCCAGAGTAATGGAGTCAGCCATTAATGAGCTGAAACCTCTGAAACTGTGACCCCTAAATAAACTTCCCCTCCTCTAAGCTGTTCTTGTCACCTATTTTGATCAGGGCAAGGGAAAGCTAACAAAAACATATGATTTAGTGATCAGCATAGCACAACAAGAAGCTTTTGGAACAAACTTTCCAAGCATCACTTGTACAATTTGCAGTGATTTGCAGGCCTAGGAGGTGTTTCCACAGGAGGTAAACCACTTCTTAAGGACAAGAGAAAACTTGAGGGGGAAAGAATAGAAGCCATCACATGAGCTGAATCAAAATTGGGACTCACAGCCAGACACCGAAGACTATAGAAAAAAAGCCCCAAGGATATGCAAGCCTATTACTCTGTAATAAAAGGCTGCTGGCCAGTGAGTCTTTGAATAGATAAAAACGAAGCAATAATTAGCAGGATTTTAAGTATCCCTCTAAAATATAGCACAAAGATTCTGCTCCCTCGGGAGGTCTATAACTAAAAATGGCCATAAAAACCAGAGAAAATGTCTAAGTTTTCAAGTGTCTGAGTGGCACTCTGAGTAATTTACTAGGTCTCTGGGAAGAAAAAGAGGAACTGTCCAAATTTTCAGTCAATATTTATCTCTTAGGTTAATAAATCTTACTCCTGACCCCAACAGAAGTCAATACCTCCTGATTATTATATGCAGGCGCCTCCTGGGTCTTTCTATTTGCCCAGACTTGTCATGGAATGAGTCACCAGGTTCCCAGGGGCTCCTCTCATAGGTCATGGGTGGGGACTGAACAATCACTCACATCTCAAAGGTACCGGCAGGTTGCCAATAATTGGCGCCATAGCTCAAGATTCATTTGAATCACTAATTCTGATGTGTTTGCTTTTCCATTTTAGGCTTTTGGGGGGTGGTATTCAGAGGTGAAGTGGGACTGAAGTATTCATGTGAGGCAACAAAAGAGGCAGAAATATAGAGGTATGTGCAGAGGAGATGAAAGTGCACAGAATTTAGAGAAGGGTTCTAGCTTGCAGTCCTGTCTACACTGCTGAATGACTGAATGAGTCCCTCTGTTTCTTTATAATCCGTTGCCTCTGTTAAAGTAGATAAATACTGACCTTAAATTATTGTTGTGCGAACTAAAGAGATCACAAAAATGTAACTGATATGTCATCTAAGTCACGTAGGACATTGCCAACTGAAGCCTAAGAAGAATGAGTTTGAGTCAGTTCAAGCAATAAATGAAGAGTTTAGAAGTTAAAAAGAAAGCATATTTTTTTCCTACAATTTTAGGAAAAATAAATAAATTCTAAAAATTCATTAAGGGTTTGTTTTTCTGTTAGGGACAATGGGATTGAGAAGCACATGTTTCTTTCTCATTTATGTCTTTCTTCTCATTTAATGGCTACTCCTAGTATTCAGACATCTGGGTCAAGAGACAGGATCAAGGTTAACGATTCCTTTTCTCCTTTCTCATTTTTTTTCCTTTTTATTTAAGAAATGCAGGGATACTTACATTTTTCGTAGTTCTCTTTGGTGCACTAAGTTGACCTGAGGAATCTAATTTTGTCAAGGCAGGGATAAAATAGAAACATGGAACTAGTAAGCCCTGCTATGAGGTTTGTTAGGGAAAAGCTAAAGTTTGACAGTGGAATTTAAGCAAAAGCAAAATCTTGGTTCATTAATCTGTTGCAAAAGGGTGTTCATTGGATCTTTTGCATTTTATGGCTGATATAAAGGGATAAAGCAGTGAGGTTTGGTATGTGGTTGTTTGTATCAACTGAGGTGTATTTCAAATGTACACATTTCTTTCAATCCTACCAATCATCCTTTCTAGACTATGATGCCAACTGACTGGTGTCAAATTATAGAGATAACCCAATTGCCAGTTACCTGCAGACTCAAAGGAATACTGTAGGAGTCTTTTTGCCTTTCTATGACTCCATTTCCCCAGAATAGCACTGACCATATTCCTCAACTCACCCTTCCCAAACATGAAGTATGCTTTAAGTATCAATCATTTCAGAGGCTAAAAATGTTCTGTACTCCTCTGATGAAAAGTCTGAGTACAAGCTTCACATTTTAAGCATTACTGTGAAGAGTCTATGATCATGTTGGGGAGTGAGAACAAACAGTTCCTTGTTTATATTAAAAACCTTCTTCTAGAGCATACTTTCCATTTAAAAAATGTATTTTAATGATTTTAAACTAAATTACATAATTTACTTACAGTTATTGCAAACATTAAAAACAAAAAGAAAGAAAAAGTATTTTTTTTAAAAAAAATTCAAAGTTTTAGCACTCAACTATATTGTTAACATTTACCCAAAATTTAATTTATTTTTTTAAATTGTAAAAGTAGCACATCATGTTCATATGATCGAATAGCACTGAGGTACTGGTTTGCCTAGTTCTCGTGCTTTGTACTAGTTGATCAGAAACAATTTATCATCTTCCTTTTCCAAGTCTATTGATGTGAACAGTCTTAGCAGTTTGGTATGAATCTTTCGACACATTTCTCTATACTCTGGCAAATATGCATAAACAAATGATAATTTTGGATTTTTTTTAAACAAAAGCTGAATTCTAATATATGCATCATTCTGTAATCATATCTTTTATAATATTATGGTTAAATTTATACATAGAAACATGAAATCATATGTATGTATTTAAATCATTTTTCAATATCAGTATATTTTTGATTATGTGAGTATACACAATTTTTGTGGTGGCTTAAAACAACAAATATTATTTCCCAATTTCTGATTGTCAAGAGTCTGGAAGAAGCTTAATCAGGTGGTTCTGGCTTAGGATCTCATGAGGTTGCAGTCAAGGCATTCATTGTCCAAAAGCTTGACTGGGGCTCAAGGATCTGCTCCCAACATGGAGCATTCACATGGCTGCTCGCTGTTGGAAGGAGCCATGGCTTGGCATACTGACATCTGAAATGCTTGAGTATCTGCACAAACATGGCAAGTGGCTTCCCTCCGGGTGAGTGATACCATAGAGAACAACGAGGAAGAATCAGCGTCTTCTATCACTTATTCTGGGAAATTTCACAGCATCATTTCTATAATATAGGTAACAAGCATCGTAATGATTCTTTTTTAGCTGAACAAAATGAGGCTTAGATATATGTATACTGACAGTCCCTGACTTATTATGGTTCAACTTTCACTTTTTAACTGTATGGTGGTATGAAAGCACATACAGCAGAAACCATTCTTTGAAGTTTGATCATTTCCTAGCCTATCAGTATTGTACAATCTTCTCAAAATGCTGGGTAGCTGCAGCAAGCCACAGTATCCAGTCAGCCATGTGATCACAAACATAAACAACCAACACTCCACAGCTCCCTGTGCTGCTAAGTGTTAGGGTAGGTGTATTAATTGCATTTTCAACTTATAAGGGTTCATCAACATATAAGTAGAGAAAGGAGAGAAATCTATCCATCCATCTATCTATTTATTCTTAGCATATTTATTTATTTATTCATTAATTTTTCCTCAAAAGCAGGATTTCTAATTAAGTATTTCAGTTGAAACTTGCTATCACATTACTTTTCTGATTAGTGGTAGCAGTTTCTTTATTACCAAATCATGTATGAGAAATATACATAACAGACATGAATAGTAAAATTTTTGTCAATAGTATATAAAACCATATATAAATATCTAGTTTTTTTGTATTTATTTATTCTATAGATCCATCTGGTACGTATAAGTGAAATCAAAGTATATCCTCCCTCTTTTATAGCAATCAAATTTACTGATAGGTGTGTATATATTATATAACATATGTTATACATGATATTATATACTGACATATTGATTTAAATTTTTTTCACAATTATATATAAATTATCATTATAATAAATTTATTTTATTTAATGTTTAAAGTGTATAATATTATTTATAATATACTATAGATATTTGAAATTTAATTTTAAAATTCCTTAATCAATATATTGTAAATAATTTCCCTGATAATACATATATAAATGAGCTTAGTTAATTTAGAAAATGAATAGTATACCCTTTTATAGGTTTTTAATCATGTTTTAATACATTAATATAATTAAAATGAAAATTTGTTTTCTTTTTTATTATTATAAGAATTACAACATTAAATATTATAAAATGTACAATTTTAGGAACTTAATGTGATCATTCTTTTCTCATTTTACTTTCTAATAGTACATTTGGACAAGGGCTAAACTAAATAAGTCATAAGAACTTGGGGTGCACCTATAAAACCATAGTTCTTTTGGGGTGTGAATACATATTTATTTTTATCAGAAGACAATTTCAAGGAGCTTATTGTTAATAAACCATGCTCTTCTTTATCCTTTTGGATTTTTTTTTTTTGTGGTTTCAAATCACCAGAAACTAAAACTAACCTACCCTCTCTCTGTTTACTACCAGGTGCAAAACTTTCAATTAAGGAATTTATTGAATTTGTAATTGTCATGTTTTGGTTTTAAGGGCAGCCATATGAAAAACAGGCTGAGATATTTTCTAGTAGAGGAAGATTCCTGCTCCAATGCATACCAACTAATATTTGTTTAACTTTAACTTTTGTGGTGGGTAATCCGCTGGGCCTTCTGTAATTATCATATTCAAGTCTCTCAGCAATGTATATTAACTATTAATATCTTCATTTTTCAAACAAGGAACATGAATCCCATAAAGTTAACACTTACCCATTCCCACAGTTAAGATGTGGAACAATTGACTCGAGGGCCTGAATTTGCAAACTAAACTGTCCAGCTTCTTAGTACTAATACAATTAAACTTGATGAAAGTTGAGAGTACTTGAAGATATTTGTTATATGTAATAATTGTAGGAGGTCTTTACTATCACAATAATTTAATGCTTCCTTATCTTCTGTCAATGTTGTTTGTCAATATTGATATTTTCCAAGACAGATTTTGAGTGCAGGAAATATTATTCAGAAATTTGTTTAGCTAAAAATATATTTGAATTATTAGCCTTAAAAAATTGAAAGCTTAGCTCTTCCATAATCTTGTATTTATAAGTCTAGAAAATTTAGCAATCACTTTTATGAGGCTTTTGATTAGCATTTAGTTCCATTTACAAACTAAGTTAATTAAACTCCTTTAAATATTTTAAACTAAATTTATAAATTAAATATATTTGATTTCTTATTTAGGTACTTCAAATACATGATTTAAAAGCAAACTTTCCAGGATATTTTAAAATATCTCTATTCCCTCTAATAAATTAGATCTAGAAATATTGTGAACTTTAAGTTCTTCAAAATGTTTTACTCCATAATCTAACTATAATTACTACATAAACTAAACAAAATCTTTGCTTAAATTCATAGGCTTAAGTCAATTACTTATTTACACTTTTAAATTAAGTCACTAATTTTACCTACTTTTTAAAAGACTTTCATGCTTCCAATATTATAAATACCCCAAAGCCTTAACAGATACATATTAATATTGCATTTGATTCTCTTAAATATTTATATAATTAATTCTGAGTTTCCATGTTAAAAAAAACATTTATCTCCTAAGAAAGAAATTCTATTATCTTAAGCAATGTTGGGTGACATTTTCTTAGTCAAGAGTGAATATCAAGAGATATGGGCTTTTCTGCTGAATGAATTATTTCTATCCCAGTGGGATAGGAAGAGACCTATTCATACATTATAAACACCAACACTTAAAAAAATGTTTAGTCTCATAAGTTTTTTGACCTTGATCTCCTCAAGGAACTTGTTACCCTACCTAAGTTGATACCTCATTTGAATGACTTTGTGTATCTTTCAATATGAAGTTATTTACATATCTTTTCATCTAGGTCTGTAGACTTTTCAGCTTGAGAGAATCCTGAATTGTTTAATATTTTTCTTTTCTGGGAACTACATATGCTAAAACAAGATCAGATCCAGTTCAGTCTTATTTTTCTGACAATGGGCTACTTGGAAGAGTGATAAAATTAAGATAAAATTATTACTAATAAAATTTACAAAGATCATGGGTTAACTTTTCACTGTCAGATGGTTGGTGTTTATTAAGGCAATTAACTATTTTTGCATAAAGATATTTATTATATAACAGACAAATAGTTGGGTCTTAAGATGTTCCAAATTTGGTACATTTAACAACTTCAACAGCTCAACAGTCTTCTAACTTTTTCTCATTCATTGTTGGCCTTTATGCTTAATCTTCTTCCTCATTGTCTTTTGTGTGTGTGTGTGTGTGTGTGTGTGTGGTTTTTTTAAAAATTGATTTTATAATTTTTTTAAATGCACGACAACAGTGGAACGCATTACAATCCTTATTACACATATAGAGCACAATTTTTTGTATCTTTGTATATAAAGTGTGCTTACGTCAAGTTATGCCATTATACATCTACTTTTTTTGCATTACAATTCTTAATACACATAGATACCACAATTTTTCATATCTCTGTTTGTATATAAGGTATGTCGACACCCAATTCAAGTCTTCATACATGTACTTTGTAGGATGATGAGGATCACATTCCACCATCCTTGCTAATCCCCTTCCCCCTCCTTTTCCCTCCCAACCCACTCCCCTATATAGAATGAATCTATTCCTCCCATGCTCTCCCTCCCTACCCCACTATGAGTCAACCCCATTATATCAGAGAAAACATTCAGCATTTGTTTTTGAGTGCTAAGTTTATAAGAGTCCTCAGCAAGATGACCCATGCATTAGCATACCTCAAGACTATTATAAAAGTGCAGGCAGCAGAAGTCACAAAGGGTAGTACTATAGGCTATGGCTTAAATAGGATTTGTCCCTCTGAAATTCATGTTGAAGTCTAATTCCCATAATGAAGTATTAAGAGGGTGGTGTTTACAGGTGGGACTTCTGGGGGTGATTAAGACTTGATACTGTCATCAAGGTGGAGCCTTCATGAATGGAGACTAGTGGATTTATAAGAGAGAGACCAGAGGACACAAACACACACACACACACACACACACACACACACACACACACACACACTCTCTCTCTCTCTCTCTCTCTTCTCTCTCTCACTATGTGGGGCCATGTACCACCTGGGGATTCTGCCAGCAAGAAAGCCATCACCAGACGCATTCCCTGAACCTTGGACCAGAACCAGGAGTCAAAACAAATCTCTTTTTTTTTTTAATAACTTCCCCAGTTTGTGGTATTGTGTTATTAGCAACAGGAAACAAACTCAGACAGTCAGTAATAGCCAGATTGCCACTAATCCAGGCACCATGAGGCAAGGGACTACCAGAATCAGGAAGGAGAAGGCTTGTAGAGAAGATTTATAACCTTCTGTACAACTACACAGCCATCTGGGGAGACCCTGCAGGGAGGGCAGGAGATAGAAGAATCACTTCTTACCTCACTAGCCTGTCCTCATTTAATCCTCAGCCTGAACTCCTCAATGGTTAAACCCAATGTGAAGTCAAAGAGAAATGGCACCCTTCAGCTTGCTCATATAAACCAGCCTTCTCAAAGAGCAGAAGGGAGAAGGAGAGAGATTACCCAGAGAGTTACACAGGATCTCCAGCATAGCAGTCATGCTGGAGTGTTGTGCCCTCAGGTAATCACTTCCAGTTACAAGAAGGAAAGTCTCTATTATTATTATTATTATTATTATTATTATTATTATTATTATTATTACTACTACTACTACTACTACTACTACTACTACTACTACTACTATTACTATTTTAAAGAGAGTGAAACCTTTCTCAGAAACTTCCCAGAAGTTCTCCCATAGACTTCATTTTCTGGGGTCATTGGGGTGAGGATGTACCGGAAGTCACTGTTAAGTAGACCATCAATGGTTGTGCATGTTATAAGAAAAACACATTTCTTTGGCAATTTTTTTTTAAATTTAATCTGACAAATGGCCATTATCAAAAATCCAGCTCATACCAAGTGTCACAAGGATATGGAGTTCCAGTCAGTCCCATAAACTGCCAGTAGGAATGTGAAATGAAACAACCACTCTAAGAAATAATATGGAAATTTCTTAAAAACTTAAATAAATACCTGATACCAGCTTGTCATTCCCTTTGTAGTTACTTAAATAGAAACAAACACATATAATGGTACAAATACTCACATAAACGTATTCACAATACCCTTATTTAAAATAAGCCCAATTGGAAACAACTCAAATGTCACTCAACAGGTGAACACATAACCAGATTTTAATATCCACACAGTGGAAAGCAACTCAGCAGTAAAAAGAAAGAACTATTGATGGTGACAGCAATGGGGGTGAATCTCAAAATAACTGTGTTGAATGAAAGAACACAGATCCCCCCCCAAAAAAATACACTGTATGGGTTTATTTAACATAAAACTCTAGAAAATAAATGAAAGCTTATTTACAGTGATGGAAAGCAGATCAATGGTTGCCTGGAAGAAAGGAATGAGGAGGGGATGGGAAGGAGCACAAGAGGGAAAAAGAAAGTTTTGGGGGTGATGAATACGATCATTATCTTGTTGTGATGATTTCCTGGGCCTATATATATGTCAAAAGGGATCAAACAGTATCTTTAAATACATTAAAGCACATACATTAAAATAAATACATGCAATTGGTTGTATATCAATTATATCTCAAAGAAAGAGCTCTTTTAAAAATTATTCTAATAAAGATAAATGTAAAAACAAATACTTAGAAAAATCAAAATTAAAGCATTATATAAATCAAAGTATTATTTCATGATAATCATAAATTTCAATTTAAACTGGCATCTGAGTCGATAAATTCAGTTTCCTTGGTGAAGAATTCTCAGCCTGTGAAAAGCCTGTGAATGCCTACCTTCAGGTCAACAGACAAAGCACTAAGAACAAAGTACTTAATATTGTCATAGGAACTGGCCAGGGAACATATAGAAAGAAAATATTATATATAAACTACTTACTTGGTTCTTCCCTTCCTCCCTCCTTCCATCTGATTTATATATGTAGTTACTTCTGTAGCATCTCTTACTTGAACACTAGGCCCCCTGGCCTAATGTTTCATATTTACCTTTACTTTAATTTCTTACATTATATTTCTTTTCTATATCTTCCGGAAATTTCCTCATCTTCATCTTTCAACTCTTCCATTGAGTTTTTAATTTCTTCTATTATAAGTTTACTTTCTAGAGGCTTATCTTTCCTCTTTGAACACTTATTTTTTTTAAAAAAAAAGGATCATTCCTGTTCTTGTTTCATGGTAGGAGTCGTTTCCTTACATTGTTAATGACTAATAACTATGGTGATATTTTTTTTTCTCTTCAAGTTCTTTTCTGCTTTCATCATCTCTGTTTCCTCCAAAGAGTTTTCTGTTTTGTTTGTTTTGACTCTATCTTTTTCTATCTAGTTTTCCACTGTCTGATCTTTGAAGGTTCATATTTAAGAACGACTGTTTTTAAAAGGACTGTTTTTAAAAGGACTAGTTGGATGTTCATAGTGTGAGATTGGTCAACCGTCAAGTATATGGCAGGAAAGGATAAATGTCATAGACTTTGTCTTTCTTGGATGACAGTCTGATTCCTCAGGGTGGGATACCCTCAGGTGAAGTCCTGCTGCCCATGTTCTGAAGCCAGAAGGGGAAATTGGGTCAGAGATTTTGGGGTCACCTACAGACATTTGCATAAGCTTTCTATTTCTAGTGTATGAAATCCCTGACCTCAACCCTTTCTCTCTGTATGGAGACCCTTTGTTTTGCAAAACTTGAGTCTTTTGCTATGGTGAGAGGAGCAGATAACCAGCGACAAGAGATCTGGCTATTGGATTTTTTATCAGCCTTCCTTGTTAGAGATTTCCTCCCCTCCTTCCCTGTTTCTCGAGGGGCTAAGCCTTTGGGGAATTCTGTGATAATAAAGACCACACTGGACTTCAGCTTTCTCTGCTACTGGCTTATGATTCTGGTTTTTTTTCAGGTTCATGTACTCCTTTACCAGTCACACACTTGTTTCCCTGCTTCCAAACTGTGACTGTTATCTCCTCTCCAGATCACCCCCATCTGGGGTTTATGTCTTAAGAAATGCCTTTCTGTTGATTGGGTGTAGTTTCAGAGGGGCGTGATGTGAGTTGTATGAATTTCCATAAGTTAGAGATTTTCTTGTCTGTGGCATGGTTCAGATCCTGGTCCTCTTCTGCCTCCTGCAGCTCTTGCAATGCTGGGAGTCCCTCCACCAGGGACCTGGCAGACTGTCCAGATGCAGCCAGCAAGGTAGTGCAGATGACTTCACCAAGCTTGTCACTACAAGAAGATCAAGGGCTTGAATTATGTCCTTTTCTGTTCTTTACATACAGAATATGTATAAAACAAAGGCAGGATTATATGTTTTGGTGGTAATTAAAAGGAATCAAACTAAAATTTATTAGTTTTCGCACTTTTCTAGCCGTATATGGAAATAGATTACATAAACACACAAGTAGATGGATAGATAGATAAGTATGATTGGTATAAAAAGGTTGGTAAGATTAAAAACTTCTTTTTTGTGTGTGAGTGGATGTATCTCAGAGATCTCCTCTAGCTAGAGGTAAGGTCTACACTTACCTGTTGTACCTTCCCATGATTATAGTGAAAGTTCAGTTTTATTATATGAACCTGCATGTATTTCTACAATATTACCTATGGACTGTCATATGATTAGATAGCCCCTCAGCACCCTTTGGGTATGTTCATCATAGAACTCTATAATGACCACACATTCTAGAACTTAACTCAACTGATCAATGCCTCGGGCTAACCAAGATTTTGCCACAATTCTAATGGCTTTGGAATTGTTGCAGCCTCATCAGCGATTTGTCTTGAGCTGTGACTCATTGTAAGGTACTTACAACCAGTAAAGAGAGCCAGAAAGACCTGCCCTTTAGTATAGGACATCTCTAGAGCTTCTTAGAGTTAAAAGTTGCTCTATGAATTTATTTTAGATACACAAAATAGGTTGTTTGTGAGAAAGTTTGTTCTCAAAGTTAGTGAAGACTTTTGGCTGCTAATGGCCATTGCACGAGTAGATATAATTGTAATTCAACCATTAAAATCTAAACCCATAGAAGCAAGGAAATTCACAGTTAAAGGAGGAAATGGGTTGTGGAGTGTTTTTCCAGCCATGAGGCACAATGGAGTGTGTTAAGGAATTGGAGACACCCCATAGTGGAAGGCATTCAAAGCATCTCTCATGTTTCCTCCCTAACTTGCAGATTTCTGAGCATTTACAGAACTGAATATTCCTTATAAAATACCAAATTTGGAGAGGTGGTAGTAGGTAAAGAAACCCTCTGTGTTTTTCCTTCATTATTACCATGAGACTGGGAATGGAGATAAGAGGGTGGATTCGTATGGCATGAGAAAATTTTGTGCCAGTAATTGGAAACATCAATGTCCCTGCTGAATATTCCTCCAGGATTTCATGTATCTGTGATGCTCCTGTACAAACCTCAGTGCAGGCAAAGCTATTGGACAAACAGAAACTTGTTATCCAGCACGCTGTATTCAGCTTGGATGTACAAAGTTTGATTTCTTATCAACATGAGAGCTATTTAGAACAATGGAAAATTGTTTTCCATTTCTACTTTTCTCCACTGTGGAAAAATAAAATGTCTATTTGGCTTTTGTATGAGTGGGTAGATGGTGGTGAATAGAAAAACTCAGAAATGACCTAGTAATTCCCATCTTGTGTATATTTAGAGGTTTTTTTTTTCCTTAGAAAGCTCATTTTAAATACTTATTTCAAAAGTGTCAATCTTGACAGTTTTTAGGTTACCTTGTAAATAT